GGCACCTGAACTAGTGATAGGGAGTGAAGTAGTCGAGCTTGTTGATCACTTCACTTATCTTGGGAGTCTCATCAGTGCCAATGGCCTGATGTATGATGAAGTCGCAGCACGGATACAGAAAGCTTGATTGGTTTTTTGCCGACCTGCGTCACTTATGGCGTAGGCGTGATATGCGTTCGCTAACCAAAGGACGGGTGTACTGCGCAGCAGTTCGTTCCGTTCTCTTATATGGCTGTGAAACATGGCCGTTAAGTGTAGAAGATGTTCGTAGGTTACTAGTATTCGATCATAGATGTTTAAGAAGTATTGCTCGAGTATCGTGGGACAACCGAGTAAGCAATGCTGTCGTTAGGAAACGAGTACTAGGTAAGGATGGCAGATGAATAGATGAAGTGGTGAAACTTCATCAGTTGAGGTGGTTGGGACATGTGTTACTTATGCCTAACCACCGACTGCCTCGACGAACTATGTTTTGTGGTGTAGCAGTAGGTTTGAAGAAAGCTAGGGGCGGCCAAACCAAAACATGGCACAAATCCCTGAAGTCACTGACAAGTGGACTGAGTCATGTTGGTAGATGTAGACTACCTGGTTGGGGTCCGCGAGACGAAAGTCATCAATGGTTAGAGACCTTGAACGACATGGCTCAAAATCGTTTGCAATGGCGCAAGTGCATCCACTCTTTGAGCTCTCTCAAATCCTAATCTTCTGGATTCGTCAATACCTCTGCCTTTGTCTTTATAATCTTATCTCACTGAATTATATTTTTTGAATAATATCTTCGAACTCTAGTCTTCTTTATTAACATTAATACCTCTACTATCTTTATCACTATGGGATTTGATTTGACATTTGCGTCTCTGTGCTAATGTAGTGGTATGGCAACATGAACTTATGTACATACGTACGAAGTTCTACGTTGCAACTGACTGACTGACTGACTTCAGTTTGACGTCGCATAGTTCTCATGTATAACTCTTCTAATAACTCTTCTACACAAATTAATATTCCACATCTCGATTGGCACTTGATTTGACATACTGTTTACATCTTCCAATCACTTCAATCAATTCAGATTCACTGCCTCATCATTAACTTGTTTGCCTGTCATCATAACTTAATACAGAAAAAAAGGATAGTAGACTTTTAGCCATTGGGATATTGATTTATTTTTCTTACAGTTTTGTTGTTCTTACAGTTTCATTGATGCTTATTCTTTTGAATTCAATTATTAGTGAAACTTATTTTATACATATTTGAAATCATCAATCAATCACTGTTAGACCACCATTAGAAACCTGGAAGCACTGGACGGCCGTTCGTCCTGGTATGGGAACTGCTGGTATGCGCGCTGCTGATGAGTCCCATACCCTAACCCTGTCGGGTGTAGGCAGTAACTACCAAAGACAAATGGGTGAGGTCGCGCAAAATCCCTAGATCAATCAGAGTTAGACATTAACACCGTTGGATGCCGGCCCAGTGGTCCGATGGTAAGGCGTTCGCCTACAATGCCAAAGGTCCCGGGTTCGAATCCTGCGAGGAGCAGGAGTCGTGGATGCGCACTGCTGATGAGTCCCATACCAGGACGAAACGGTCGTCCAGTGCTTCCAGGTTCCTAATGGTGGTCTAACAGTGATTGATTGATGATTTCAAATGTGTAGAAAATCGCAAACCTCCAAAACTGTGCCCCAAAACTTATTTTACTCTAATTCACTTAATTACTTTCGCATGTTACCCCACCCCCAAATGGAGCATAAGCTGCCTACCGGCATTTTCTAACCTACTATGTCGTCGGCCTTTTTCTTTCTAGCTCTGCATAATCATTATTCATTTTTTTCTTATCTACCTACAACCTCGGTACAGTGTGTGTGTTACTTGAGCACCCCAAGTTGGAGCTTGCTTCATGATGCAGTTTGGTGAATTCCTCCATGTGTGTGTCTTATCCACCTCTAATGCTTTTTCTTAATTTATATGGTGACCAACAATGAGTTCATGCGCCCTTTGTTCTTTCACGATCCTGGATTCCATGTGTTTAGAATGAGAGTTTTCCAATTCATCTAGTTAGATTCTCTATCCGCATCAACTAAGTTTATGAACCAAAAAAACAGATTCTCTCCACTTTCGATCGTACTAAGCTTTTTGGAGGCAAATACTTTATTTTAGTAATAATCTTCGTAAATAAACTTTAAATTGTTATTCTCAACATAACTGGAATTCGCTAGCCAGTCATAAATAAGACGAAACACACTTAGTGCATTTCACTAATAGTCTTATATATATATATATATATATATATATATATATAGTTAATCAATCCTCGTTAGACAACAAACAGAAACCTGAAAGTACTGGACGTTTCATCCTAGTATAGGACTACTCGTCAGCATCGCGTACCCATGACCCCTGCTTGCGTGAATCAAACCTCGAACCTTCGGTGTCGCGTTCAAACACCTAACCTCTGAACCATTAAACCGGCATGCAACGATGTTAATGTCTGACTTTAATCAATCCAAGGTTTTGCCGCAACCTCATCCATCGTCTTCTATATATATATATAAATATATATATATATCAGCCTACAACTGACAGGGGTTGAACTCCACTGGTCATAGCTTCTCATTGGTCTAGATGTTAAGCGTTCGCGTGTGAAACCGAAGGTTCCTATCTTCAATATCTGCGAGTGAATCTCATGGATATACACTGCTGATGAGTCACTTTCATAACATGGCCGAAATGATCATTTTACAGCGCTTCCAGTTTTCTAACAATCTTCATAACTTTGGATAAAAAATATTTGCTTGTTATTTTTTCCTTTCTATCTTTCTTTTAGACTGGTATTCTATTGAAAATTCCAAATCTATCAAATTGTTTAACAACTAATCATTTCTTGAATTTATATGCCAAATCACTTGGTCAAATACTTTGTTCACGTATCCGATTCCCTGAAATTAATGTTATAGTAGATTATTTAATTACATTTTTATTAAAATTATTTCATGAAGATGTGTCATTGTTCAATGCATGTTTATCAACCTTGCCACCAATGGTAAGTTGATTTTGTACAAATCTCCCTATGAGTGTTATGCATGCACGTCAAACACGTCAACTTGATAATCCTTGAACTATAATATTAGTTGTTTACCTTAGCCGAAAAAATGAGAGCAAGGATCGAGGATCCGGCGACATGACAGACTACTCTAATCCAAATGTCGCAAACAACCCATTGAGTAAAAGAACAAGACTTGATTTGAAGTAGAACATGTATTCTACAAGCGTCCAGAAAGTACTGTGGTGTGTGCTACTTATACGAACGATATAAGTAGTATAAGAAGGGACGTGAAAGAAAAAGTCGCACGGTCAGAAGAGGAAAACGGAAAGCAAATGGAGCAAAAGCAAGAAGTAAATGGAGTACCAACAGGAAGTAAAGGAAGCAACAACACCAGGAATGGAAGAAGCATGGAGTGTTGAAAGTCACGACTCAAAGATGGTGTGCAAATAGAGTATTCAATGCAATGTTTTCGTTTTCAACTGACTCAGAGTGTAAATTTGCCTGCCTCAGTCTTCGCAGTACGAGATCCGAATCCCAGAAGGGAATCTGTATCCCGGACTTGGGACCTGGGTCCGAGTCATAAAACGTTACAGATAATGCGTATATATACCGTTAGGTCAAATAGGAAATAACATTGAAGTCGGTGACATTGATAGCTAGGACGACCATATTGTTGACCAGTGGGAATTGACCAATAGAATTAGACTTACAAAAAATAATTCTCTTCGGATATTTAATGAATATCTTAATAATTTGATAAAAACATCGTGTATAATGATAATTTCTAGGTTAAGCTGTAGTTTCGCAGTGACACCATGAATTGAACCTGGCGGCTTGAATAATAGTCTCATGCTAATTACTACTGCTGCCGATGGTGCTTATTGAACAAGTATTCATTTCAATCAGTAGAAAGAAAAAATATTCTGTTTTATGTTATCGACAAAATGTGAATGATAATTCAATCAATTGAGAAAGTGTAGTGTTTTCCTTTTTTTCAAAAATAGAACTGAGTGCTAAGCTTCCGAAAAAAATTCTCTAATGTTCTTTTTACTCCATCCATCTCGCATCGTTTGCATTAGCTGTGCAGTGTGATAAAGGAATGTGAGAAGAGTTAGTCGTGGAGATAAGAGAGATATTATGGGGTGTAGGAAGGATTTGATTTTGCCTAATTTGGTCTCGTGTGCTTTTATGGGTATGAGGGCGGTTGTCACTTCCAGGCTGTCCACACCTTGGAAAGTTGTTTCTTGAGGAACCTGAAAAGGAAGGTAGATTAGTGTTGGTCTTAGAGACCTGGGAGCGTGACCGCAGAGTCCAAGGGACAACTGCTTGAGGCCGGTCACGCACGGCCTTTTTATGAAAGGTTTCTTGAGTATTAGCTCCGCTCTTGAAAGCCCTTAGTGGGCACCCTTACCGACGGAGACGGAAATCCAGGAGGTAGGATGAGGTGTGATATTTTTAGGGCCGATCTTTTCTAACCCTTCCTTCCTTGTGAGAAGGCAGCATCGCTGCAGATGCTGGTTGTCCGAGGGAAACACCTTACTGCTGTCATACCCCTCTGCAATCAGTAGTACGACTTCGTCCTCAGACCTTGGGTAGCTGCTTTTAGTCTCATCGTTCTCCAATCGACCAGCCTGATGTGATAGAATCTTCAGGAACATATGTTCCAGCCAATATAGCTCGGTTGGGTCATCACGATAGGCAAGCTCGACCACCACGTCAAGGTAGCAGCTTCGATCGGGTCTCCATCCATCTAGGATTACAATATTGTTTCAATTGAATGTGTATATCCATAGTTGTCCGTATAAGGGAAGAATTGTCTTAGGCATTTGACTGCTAATCGGTGTTCATGTGAACGAAACTGAAGAGGTCGTCCACTTTGTCCTATGTAGTGTTTTTCACAGTCTGAGCAATTTATTTTGTAGATATTTGGTATTTCTTCCTTTGTCATTTTGTACTTTGGTGTTTACATACGGTTGATTGAAGTGATTCTGTTGGTAGGATGATTCGTTGATTGTTCAATAGAACACTGTTAGCAACATTATTGATAATTGTCATTTCATGTCATATGCTATTTTTATTCACTCAAGTTTTATTAAGTCTGACACACAAATGTAGGATAGCGATATCTTTTTAGCATGTCTATGCGAAACATTTTGAATATCTTCTTTCATTAGAAATCATGAATCAATCATTGGTAGACTGCTACCTAATGCCTTTTCATCTCACAATAGACCTTATCAGCGGTACGCACCCACGGCTCACGCTCATGGGAATCAAAAACAGGACCTTCAGTCCTGAGCTGACATCCAACGG